TGTAAGAAAGACTAAGGGATAGTCTTCGGGCTCATACCCCGAGAAAAGTGAGTTCGAGTCTCACTCTTACAAAACTGTCCCTGTCTCTTGCTCATACAACAATATGCCTTCTTCAATTTTGGTTTCTCCTTTTATTGAAAAATTTTTTTTTGGGTGATGAGGGTTAAAAAAGAAGAAAACTAAAAAAAAAGAAGATGGCTAAGATAAACTAAGATCAGACGACAGACCCTTCGAAACGGCGAAAAGACGCATTAGTTGTTGCTTCTGCGGAAAAGCGAGCCTGAGGTTTGAATTGAAACATCTTAATACCGAGTAAAAATCAAACGAGATTCCGAGAGTAGTGGCGAGCGAAGTTGGAGTTGTGTAAAAAGGGATCATAGATCTAGACTAAACGTTAGTTTATACTGATAGTAAGAGTACTGTAAAGGAAAGTTGAAAGAGAGTTGAAAAGAGCTGGAATCTTTTTTTTTTAAGCAGCTTTAAAACAGCGTACCTTTTGTATAATGGGTAAAAGAGATTAATTTGGCATATTTAAAAACGGAAAATTAAAAGAAGTTTTTTTTAGTCAAAATACCCGAAACCAAGTGATTTAATCATGAATAGTAAACAAGAACGAACTGGTGGTTGTGGCAAAACCCTCAGAAGATTTGTGATTAGGGGTGAAAGGCCAATCGAACTTGGATATAGCTGGTTTTTTGCGAAAACTATTTAAGTAGTGCCCTTTTTGTTTTATTTTTTTTGTAATAAAATAAAAAATCAAATAAAAAAAAAGTAGACAACCAAAAAGTGAAAAGATTTTTTGTTAAAAGAGAAAGCTCAAAGCAGAAGTTAACGTCATTTGTTTCTTTTTAGTGTAAAAAAAAAACAAGGCTTAGACAATAAAAAAGTAGGCTTAGAGCCAGCCATCTTTTAAAAAGTGCGTAGTTGTTTATTTAATAAATTAAATTTTTTTTTAATTTTGGTGGGTAAAATCAAACCAAAACTCTGCAAATAGAACTTTTTTATAGCAAAATATACCGTTTTTCAGTAGAAACAATTTTTACATGGGTAATCTAAAATTATTATTTTTTTTCTTTATATTACCACTTTTGGGTTATACAGACCCTTAGAGTTTTTTTATGGGAAATTTTTTTTTATATATTATATCAGGAAAAACCAAAAAGAGGAGCTGTTTTTCTAACTAAAGAAAGAAAAAAAAAAGAGACACATTTTTTTAAGGAACTCGGCAAAAGAGAACTTCGACTGTTTACCAAAAACATAGCTTTTTGATTTTTATAAAAGGTGAGACCTGCCCTATGGTTGGATCTAAAAAAGTTTGTTTTGCTTATTAATAAAGACAGCTAAATGGCCGCGGTAACACTAACTGTGAAAATGTAGCGTAATCAATTGTTAATTAATTGTTGACCGGTATGAATGGTGTCACGAAAGTTTCTCTGTCTTAAAAAAATACTTAATGAAATTGAATTTGTAGTGAAGATGCTACATTAAAATTGTAAGACGAGAAGTCCCCATGGAGCTTTACTGAGGGCTTAGACTTTTCTATAAGCGGGACAGTTTTGTTGGGGCGACAGTTTTTTAAAAAGTAACAAAAACGAACTATGGCGTAGCTTCACCCTGAAAAATTTTTTAAGGGACATTTTTGGTGTGTTTTATGATCCGTTGTTTGGAATGAAAAAAACAACGAAAACAAATAAAAGTTACCCTGGGGATAACAGCGCAATAACGTTTGAGAGTTAATCAACGACGGTGTTTGCGACCTCGATGTTGAATTGCAGCGTCCTAGGAAGTAGTCACTCCTAAGGGTTGGTTTGTTCACCCATTAAAGCTGTACATGATTTGAGTTAAAAGCGTGGTAACACAGCTTAGTTTCTATCTACAATGATAAACATAGATATTTTGTTTTTTAGTACGAAAGGATCAAAAATTAATAGTTCTCTAAAGACAACTATTCTTTAAATTAGGATTGCTTCTAAAAAAAAAAAGAAATATTTTTTGTTTGGTTTTATTTTAGAAAAAAAAGAAATAATTTTTGTTTGGTTTTATTTATGTATCTTTTAATTTTATTTTTCCCTTTAATTGGATCAATTTTAACTGGTTGTTTTGGAAGGCATATAGGAGAAAAGGGGGCAGGGATTTTAACTTCATGTTGTTTAATTATCGGTTTGTCTTATTCTGTTTTAGTTGGAATAGAAATTTTATTTAATTCAACGGCAACATTTCTTAGACTATGAAAGTGGTTGGACTCTGGGTTTTTTCTTGTTTTTTTTGATTTGCAGTTTGATGGTTTAGTTGCAGTTATGTTGTTTGTGGTTTTTCTTGTTTCTACTTTGGTTCATGTTTTTTCTATTGCTTATATGCGAGGGGACCCTCATGTGCCTCGGTTTATGGCATACCTTTCTTTATTTACCTTTTTAATGGTTTTTTTAGTCACTAGCGCTAATTTTCTTCAATTGTTTATTGGATGAGAAGGAGTTGGTCTTTGTTCTTATTTATTAATTAATTTTTGATTAACAAGACTTGAGGCAAATCGAGCAGCAATTAAAGCCATGTTGGTTAATAAAGTTGGTGACATAGGCTTGCTTTTAGCAATGTTTCTTCTTTGAAAAACTTTTGGGTCTTTAGATTTTTCTTCTGTTTTTAATTTAGTTTCTCCTTCTAAAGGAGTTTTTTTTATTTGTTTATTTTTATTTTTTGGGGTAATGGGTAAGTCAGCTCAATTAGGGTTACATACTTGGCTGCCGGATGCGATGGAGGGTTGTTGGGCCTCTTAATTAAAAATTTGATTAAAACAAACCACTATGCACAGGAAAGACAATTGTTCACCAGTGGGCAATAAAATGTTTGTTTTAATGCCTAAGAGACTTTATGTGGTCTACTTTTTTTTATTTGATTAAAGCTGTTTTTGTTATTGTTCCTTTACTTATTGCTGTGGCCTTTTTAACTTTAGCAGAACGAAAAATCTTAGGATATATGCAAATGAGAAAAGGGCCAAATGTTGTAGGGGGCGGGCTTCTTCAGCCTTTTGCAGATGGGATAAAATTATTTCTTAAAGAAATGATCATCCCTCATCAGGCAAGTGCTTTTGTTTACTTTTTTGCCCCAGTTGCCTCTTTTACATTAGCTTTTATTGTTTGGGGAATTCTTCCTTATGGAAGAGGAGTTGGTATAAGTGATTTTAATATTGGTCTTTTGTGGGTTTTAGCCATTTCTTCTATAAGTGTTTATGCTGTTTTAATGTCTGGGTGGGGGAGTCGTTCAAAATATGCTTTTTTAGGGGCTATTCGCGCGGCTGCGCAAATGATAAGTTATGAGGTTTCGATTGGGTTGATCTTGATTTCTGTTCTTTTATGTGTTGGCTCTTTGGCTTTTAATAAAATTGTTTTGGCACAAAATTTTATTTGATTCTTTATTCCTTTTTTTCCTATTGTTGTAATGTTTTTGGTTTCTATTTTAGCAGAAACGAATCGTGCCCCGTTTGATTTAACGGAAGGAGAATCGGAGCTTGTTTCGGGCTATAATGTTGAATATGCCTCTATGTCTTTCGCTTTATTTTTTTTAGCAGAGTATGCACATATTATTTTTATGAGTTGTTTGACTATTCTTTTGTTTTTTGGAGGGTGGTTGGGTTTACCTTTTGGTTTGAAAGTTATTTTTATTGTTTGTTTTTTTTTATGGGCACGAGCGTCTTTTCCTAGGATTCGATATGACCAGTTAATGGCCCTATTATGAAAAGGGTATTTGCCTTTTAGTTTGGGGGTTGTTCTTTTTGTTGCTAGTGTTTTGTTTGGATTTAATGGTCCTTCTCCAATATAGGAATGCCATTACGAAAGGACAATCCTATTTTATCTCCAGTTAATGGGTTTCTCGTAGACTTGCCCTCTCCTTCAAATATAAGTTATTTTTGAAATTTTGGGTCTTTATTAGGACTGTGTTTAGTTTTACAAATTATAACAGGGTGTTTTTTGTCGATGCATTATTGTTCAGATGCGTGTCTTGCGTTTGCTTCTATTGGGCACATAATGCGCGATGTTAATTATGGGTTTTTATTAAGATATTTACATGCAAATGGGGCTTCTTTGTTTTTTTTTTGTCTTTATATTCATATTGGACGAGGGTTATATTACGGGGGGTATTTGAGATTTCATGTTTGGAGTGTTGGAGTTTTGCTTTTTTTATTGACTATGGCGACCGCTTTTATGGGTTATGTTTTGCCTTGGGGCCAAATGTCTTTTTGGGGGGCGACTGTTATTACGAATTTATTATCTGCAATACCCTATTTTGGGGTGGATATTGTTCAATGGGTTTGAGGTGGCTTTAGTGTTTCTGGGGCTACATTAAATCGGTTTTTTAGTTTGCATTTCTTGCTTCCTTTTATTTTGGCCTTTCTTGCTATTATTCATTTAGTTTATTTACATGTTGATGGGTCAAATAATCCTGTCGGCTTAAACTCTTCGATGGACAGTGTTTCTTTTCATACTTTTTATACTTCGAAAGATCTTTTTGGCTTCTTTTTTTTATTTTTTTTATTTTTTTTTTTTGTTTTTTTTTGGCCTAATTTCTTAGGAGACGCAGAGAATTTTATTCAGGCGAATTCTTTAGTTACTCCTGTTCACATTCAACCCGAGTGGTACTTTTTATTTGCTTATGCCATTTTGCGTTCAATACCAAATAAATTGGGGGGGGTTGTTGCTATGTTTTGTAGTATTTTAATTTTATTTTTTTTACCCCTTTTACATAAAAGTGTTTTAAAAGGACTGTCTTTTCGTCCTTTGGGACGAATGGCGTTTTGGTTTTTGATAGTTAATTTTGGTCTTTTGACTTGAATTGGGGCGCAAGTAGTTGAAGAGCCCTTTATTTTAATTGGGCAAGTTCTTTCTTTTTTTTATTTTTTTTATTTTTTAGTTCTTGTGCCTGTATTGGGTGTTTTAGAAAATCAATTATTAAAAAGAAATTAACGAAATTTTTCTTTTCGGTGGTTTAATATTAAGCTTGGTGGGTTTGGGCTTTCGTGGTTTTCTTTTAAAGTTTTCTTTTTTTCTTTTTTTGGTTTTTTTTTATTTTTGGTTTTTTGAGTTAGAGTGAGCAAAAATTTTTGTTTTAGTAGGGGGTCTCGCGGTCTTACTTTTATTAGGGCCACAAAAAGAAGAACAAACAGACATTCCTATTTTAAATTTACTTGTTGTTTTAGGGGCTTTTTGTTTAATTTCTTCTAAAAATTGACTTTCTGTTTATTTAGCAATAGAGCTCTCTACACTTTGTTTTTTTGTTTTGATTGCTAGGGGGTCGGGTTATAGTGCAGAGGCAGGATTAAAATATTTTGTTTTGGGGGCTCTTTCTTCTGGTTTATTTTTATTTGGTTGTGCTTTGTTGTGTGGAGCTGGGGGCAGTGTATATTTTTATTATCTAGAGTTGCTTTTTAATTCCAAGCAAAGTTTTTCTGACGTTTGTGTGCCGACTGGGTACCTTTTAATTATTGCGGCTCTTTTTTTTAAATTGTCTGTTGCCCCTTTTCACATGTGGGTTCCAGATGTTTATGAGGGGGCACCAACAAAAACGGTTGTGTTATTGGCTATCGTGCCTAAAACAGGCATTTTTTCTCTTTTATTTTCCATTGGATTGCCCATAAGTCTTTTCTTAATTGGAGTTGTTTTTTCTCTTTTTGTTGGGGCGTTAGGTGCTTTAAATCAAACAAGAGTCAAACGGCTTTTGGCCTATAGTGGGATTGGTCATATGGGGTTTCTTTTATGGGGTTTAGTAAATGGTTCTTTTGAGAGCCTACAAGCAAGTTTGGTCTATCTTTTTATATACATCATTATGACAATTTGTGTTTTTTCTATTATTTTGAGTTTTAATGTGTATAAAAACTTACTCATTGAATTCAGTGGGCTATCCCGGTTTTTACCTTTTCTTTCTATTACTTTTGGGGTTGTTTTTTTCTCTATTGCTGGGATCCCTCCTTTTGCAGGGTTTTTAGGAAAATGGGTGGTTTTATTATCTGGGGTTCTTTCTAAATCTTTTTTTATTTTTTTTTTTGCCGTTTTTTGTTCTGTAATTGCTGGGGTTTATTATGTTAGAATTGTAAAAGTTCTTTTTTTTCAAAAAAACTCTTTTTTTTTAATTACAACAAAAGCTTTAAAAAAAGAGCTCAAACTAAATTTTAAGAGGGGGTTTTTAATTGGCCTTTGTTTTAATTTAATTTTTTTTCTTTTTTTTTCTCCACACTTTGGGTTTTGTTTCACTTCCCAAGTGGTTATGGGGTTGTTTTAAAATGGAAGCTCTTATTTTTTGTTTTTTTTTAAGTACAATTGTTTCCGGGATAATGGTTGTTTCTGCCTTAAACCCTGTGCTTTCTATTTTTTGGCTGGTTCTTGTTTTTGTTAATTCTGCGGTTTTTTTTCTTTGATTAGAGGTCGACTTTCTTGCCTTAATGTTTTTACTTGTTTATGTGGGGGCTATTGCTGTTTTGTTTTTGTTTGTAGTGATGTTATTAAATTTAACAGACTACCCTCCTGTTTTTAGAGAAGAAGTTGATATGACAAACTATATGCCAGTCGGGTTTCTAATTGGAGGTTTTTTTTTTTCAGAAATTGCCTCCAGTTGATCTATTATCTTTCCTCGAGTTGAAAGTTGAGATTTGTCTTTTCCTTGGTTTCTTGTTTCTTATCATAATATTGAGGCATTAGGGCAGGTTTTGTATATATCTTGTTTTTGTTTGTTTTTTTTAGCAGGCTTTGCTTTATTAGTTGCTATGGTTGGTGTTATTGTTTTAACTCAAGAATTAGAACCTTTAACTAAAAAACAAGATCTTTTTATTCAAATAAATAGATAATGAGCGGCTCTTCTTATTTTGAACAGTTTAATGTTGTGTGGCTATTTGGTTTGACAAACTCTGCTATAATGATGTCTCTTGTCATTTTTGTGGTTTTGTTGTTTTTAAAAGGAATTGATTTGATTCCTAAAAGATGGCAATCTTTTTTTGAATTAGTGTGCTTTCATTTTTATTCTGTGGCAAAAGAGAACTTAGGTGTTGAGGGTTTAAAATTTTTTCCTTTTATTCTTTCTCTCTTTTTTTTTTTAGTCTTTTTAAACATCTTTGGTTTATGTCCTTATGTCTTTACCCCAACAACTCATATTATTGTAACTCTTGGGTTTTCTTTTTCGATTATTATCGGGATTACTCTCTCTGGGCTTTTAAGGTTTAAAAAAGATTTTTTTAGTATTTTAATGCCTAGTGGGGCCCCTTTAGTTTTAGCTCCTCTTTTGGTCTTAATAGAAACGGTTAGTTATTTTTCTCGGGCTATTTCTTTGGGGGTTCGTTTGGCCGCAAATCTTTCTGCTGGACATCTTTTGTTTGCTATCTTAGCCGGTTTTGGTGTTATTTTTAAATCGGCAATTGTAATAATGGTTTTTATTACATTATTAGAAATTGCTGTTGCGATTATTCAAGCTTATGTTTTTTGTTTATTGACAACTATTTATTTGGCGGACACACTTGTTTTACATTAATGAGTCTTTTTTGGTTGATTCTTTTAGTTGGAACAATTAGTGTGATGGGGGTTTCGAGAGAAAAAAAAAGTCTTTTAAAAAAACGAGCCTTAGAGTGGTCTTTGGCTATTTTGTTTAGTGCTCTGGTTTCATGGGGAGGATTTGATGGAGAAGGACATTTTCAATTTCTAGAACTCGTTGAATGAGGGTCTTTTTTAGCTTGGGGCCCTCTCCCTTTTGCTTTAGATGGTGTCTCTTTGTTCTTTTTGCTTTTAACAACTTTTTTAATTCCGGTTTGTATTTTAATAAGCCCGAAATCGACAAAGGTTTTATTTAAAGAGTTTTTATTATGTCTATTCTTTTTAGAGATTTTATTGGTTGGTGTTTTTTTAGTTTTTGACCTTTTTTTATTTTATATTTTTTTTGAGGGTGTTTTAATACCAATGTTTTTTTTAATTGGTATTTGAGGTTCTCGAGAAGAAAAAGTCCGTGCTTCTTTTTATTTTTTTTTTTTTACTTTTGCAGGGTCGGTTTTCTTTTTTTTTGTAATACTTTTTTTATATCAGTCAACTGGAACAACCAATTATATTCTTTTACTTAATACGAAATTGTCTTTGAGTGTTCAAAAATGAGCGCTGGTTGGTGTCTTTCTTAGTTTTGCTGTTAAACTACCGCTTGTTCCTTTCCATATTTGGCTTCCACAAGCGCATGTCGAAGCTCCTGTTGCAGGCTCTGTTATTTTAGCGGGGATTTTATTAAAACTAGGGGGCTATGGTCTTTTGCGTTTTTCTTGGCCTCTTTTTCCAGAGGCTTCTTTTTATTGATCTCCAGTTATTGTTTGTTTTAGTGTTATTGCGGTTGTTTATGGGGGGCTGATGACATGTCGTCAAATTGATTTTAAACGACTTGTTGCTTATTCTTCTGTTGCACACATGGGGTTAGTCCCTTTGGGCATTTTCACACATATTATGGAGGGGTTGGTCGGGGCTGTTTTTTTAATGTTAGCACATGGCTTTGTTAGTTCTGCTCTTTTTATTGGAGTGACTTTTTTATATGATCGTCATCACACGCGTTTAATAAAATATTATCGGGGTCTGACTTTAACTATGCCACTTTTTGCTGTTTCCATGCTTGTTTTGTCTTTATCAAATATGGGGCTACCTTTAAGTTGCAATTTTGTTGGGGAGTTCTTTTCTTTACTTGCGGCGTTTAAATATTATTATGGGGTTGGGGCGCTTGTTGTTTTTGGGGTTCTTTTTTCTGCTATTTATTCTCTTAGTTTGTTTAACCGTATTTCTTTTGGAGGAGGGTCTAACTATCTTCTTTTTAATAGAGATTTAAATCGACAAGAGGGCTTTACAATGTTTCCTTTTCTTATAATAATTTTTCTTGGAGGGGTTGTACCTTTTTTTGTTATTAACTTGGTTAAAAACAGTCTTGTTTTTAGCCCAATTGGTTAGCCCTTTAATTTTTGAAAGGATAGTCTATGACCCTCTTTCTTAATTAGCTTCTTCAATTAGCTTTTTGTGTTATAATAGGACTGTTTAAAAGAAGATAGTTTGAAATTGGCAAAAAATATTAGAAAAGAAGTAGTGTGGGTCCTTTGGTTTTGGGGATTAAAAAGCTTTTGGTCTGAGTAATACATGCTAGTGTATGCGAACAGGTGAGGGTGAAAGAAAAAGTTTATTTTTTTTTATTGTATTAGGAAAAGAAGAGGTTATTTTCTTCTTTCCAAAGATGCATGGTTTAACCACATTTTCACTGAAACAAGGGAAAACATTGGCAGCAGTAAAGAATTTTATGCAATATACGAAAGTAAGACATAGGCAGAACCTTTTAACCTGTCAAATTAAGTGCCAGCAGACGCGGTGAAACTTAAGGGTTTGTTTTTTAGAAAAAGCAGAAAGCGTGTAAAGGTAAAACATTTAAAATAAATAGAATTTTTTTAGTAATGGTGCAATATTAAAAGAAAAAAAAGAATTTTTTTATGTGAAGACAATTTATTTTTTTTCTTTAACACGAAGGTTCTGGGAGCGAACAGGATTAGAGACCCTGGTAGTCGATACAGTAAAAGAAAGTCGCTTGAGTAGTACGGTCGCAAGATTAAAATTCAAAAAACTTGGCTGTTCATTGTTATTTAGAGGAGCGTGTTGCTTAATTCGATAATCCGCGAGTTACCTTACCAAAACTGGCTTTTTCAGGTGTTGCATGGCCGTCGTCAATTTATGTTTGATACAATAAATTAAACCCTAGAAAGGTTGAAGTCAGGTAAAATTGCCCTTATGTTTTGGGGTTAAATGCGCTACATTTTTTTTTTAATAAAAAAAAAGAGTTCGGATTGTCTTTAAAAGAGGACGATTAAGTTGAATTTAATAGTAATTGAAAAGTAGAGCGTTTCAATGAATTTGCCGCAATGTTAGTACAAATTGCCCGTCGCCTCTACTGAGGTAAACAAAGTAGAGTAAGTCGTAACATAGTAAGGGTGAGGGAACTGGCCCTTGATGCCCAAAGGTTTAAAATATCAATTATTACCTTGAAGTTAAAAAATTAATAAAAGAAGTTTGTAAGGGGCGGGTCTATGATATAAATTGTAGGCGGGGTAAAAGAAACGATAGACTTTTGTTTGGTTGGGGGGGGGGTGCGGTATCATCCATATCATTTAGCGGAGCCCTCTCCATGACCTTTTTTGGGGGCGACGGCCGCGTTTTTTTTGACTATCGGCCTAGTGTCTTTTTTCCATTATGGGCAACGTTTTTTTTTATGATTAGGGCTTTTAGTTATGGTTGGAGTTATGTTTGTTTGATGACAAGATGTAATACGAGAGTCTACCTTTCAAGGGCATCATTCTTTAATTGTAAAACAAGGACTTAAATATGGTATGCTTTTATTTATTCTTTCAGAAGTCCTTTTTTTTTTTTCTTTTTTTTGGGCTTTTTTTCATAGTAGTTTGGCCCCTGCGGTGGAATTGGGGGTAGTATGACCTCCACAAGGTGTCTCTGCATTAAATCCTTTCTCTGTTCCCTTATTAAATACTGCTGTGCTATTAAGTTCCGGGGCAACGGTGACATGGGCTCATCATGCCATTGTTTGTGGGGCTAAAAAAGAAGCGCAGTTGGGTTTGTTTCTAACACTTTTATTAGGAGTAGTCTTTACAAGTTTACAGGCAATTGAGTATTATGAGGCTCCGTTTGCTTTGTCAGATTCTGTTTATGGATCAACTTTTTTTGTTGCAACTGGGTTTCATGGATTACATGTTTTAATTGGAACGACTTTTTTATTTGTTTGTTTTTTTCGTTTGTTATCAAATCAATTTACTCGCCGTCAACATGTGGGTTTTGAGGCGGCGAGTTGGTACTGACATTTTGTTGATGTAGTATGGCTATTTTTATATCTATGTATTTATTGATGGGGTTCTTAAAAATGTTTCAAGACGGGGCAGAGGCTTGGTGTTCGGGTCTTCAAGATATGGCAGACCCAGTTGTTGAAGAAACTCTTTTTTTTCATGAACGGGTGATGTTTTTGCTGGTTATTATTATACCTGTTGTTTTGTGACTTATTGGTGAGGCTTTAAAAAATAAGTTTTATGATCGCTTTTTAGTTGATGGTACTTTTTGAGAGATTATTTGAGCTATAATACCGGCAGTTATTTTAGTTCTTATTGCATTACCTTCTCTTAAATTGTTGTATTTGATGGATGAAGTTGTTTCTCCTGCTTTAACCATAAAGGCGGTTGGACATCAGTGATATTGGTCTTATGAATACTCAGATTATGAGGGGGAGACATTGGGGTTTGATTCTTATATGCTTCCTACATCGGATTTAACTCCAGGGGAGAATCGTTTGTTGGAAGTTGACAATAAACTTATTCTTCCAATTTTAACTCATATAAGGCTTTTGGTTACAGGGGCGGATGTTTTGCATTCTTTTGCGGTTCCTTCTTTAGGGTTAAAAATAGATGCTGTCCCAGGTCGTCTTAACCAAACGGGGGTTTTTATTAAAAGGCCGGGGTATTTTTTTGGACAATGTTCTGAGATTTGTGGTGCAAATCATTCTTTTATGCCAATTGTTATAAAAGGAGTTTGGGTTGAAGAATATCTTCATTATTTGAAATGTATTATAAATACCTAATTCTGGTAGTTCTTTTATTTTTATTGGGGAGCTGGGGGATAATTTTAAATCGAGGACATTTTATTATTATGATTGTTTCCATTGAGCTGGTTTTATTATCTACTTTTTTTTTCTTTTTAATAAATTCTAAAGAAATTGATGTTTTAATAGAACAAGTGTATATGATAATGGGTTTAACAATTGCGGCCGCGGAGTCTTCAATTGGTCTAGCTATTTTGGTTGCTTATTATCGTATTCGAGGGACAATCGTTTTAAAATCTTTTAGTTCTTTACGAGGTTAAGGATGCGTTTTTTTGTCTTTTGTTTTTTGACAATTGTTTTGGCGGGGTTGTTTTCTATGGTTTCTTTTTTTCTAGGAGAGAAAGTACCAGATCGAGAAAAGGTTTCTGCTTATGAGTGTGGTTTTGTGCCATTTAGTTTTTTGGGCCGTCCTTTTTCAATACGATTTTTTTTAATAGGCATTTTATTTTTGATTTTTGATTTAGAGATTAGTTTTTTTTTTCCTTGGTGTGTTTTATATAATTCAATTGCCCCTTTTGGGTTTTGAACTATGGTTGGGTTTTTCTTTATATTAACTTTAGGTTTGGTCTATGAGTGGTTAAAGGGGGGTTTAGAGTGAGAGTAAAAAAAAAAGAGTAAAAGAAAAAGTCCTATCTATTATGGGAGTAGTAGTTATAAGTATCCCAACTCCGGTTTCTGCTTTAATCCATGCGGCAACAATGGTTACGGCGGGTGTGTTTTTATTAATTCGAGCATCTCCTTTGTTTGATGTTGTTCCTCTTATGTTAATTATTATAACAACGATTGGGGTTTTAACGGTGTTTTTTGCTGGTACAATTGGTTTGGTTCAAAATGATTTGAAAAAAATAATTGCTTATTCTACTTGTAGTCAACTAGGATATATGGTTGTTGCTTGTGGGCTTTCTCATTTTTCTACTGGTTTGTTTCATTTAATGAACCATGCTTTTTTTAAAGCTTTGTTATTTTTGAGTGCGGGTTCTTTAATCCATGCGGTGGTTGATGAACAAGATGTAAGGAAAATGGGGGGGCTGTCCTCTTTTCTTCCTCTAACTTATATTTTTTTTATTATAGGATCTTTTTCTTTAATGGGGTTTCCTTTTTTAACAGGGTTTTATTCAAAAGATTTGATTTTAGAGTTTGCTTTTGGGCAATATTATTTAATTTTTGTTTATTTACTCGGGTGTTTCTCTGTTTTATTAACTGCAATATATTCTATTCGTCTAATTTTTTTATCTTTTTTATCCAATACAAACTTAAAACGGGGAGTCTTTTTTTTTCTTAAGGAAGGGGAGGGACTGCTTTTAGCCCCCTTGGGGATATTGGCTTTGGGAAGTATTTTTTGGGGTTATTTTTGTAAAGAAATGATTTGGTGTTTTCAAATGGGGACTTTCCCTGTGCTTTTTTTAAATATTAAACTTCTTCCTGTTTTTTTAAGTTTAGTTGGGGTTTTTGGAGTGCCTTTTTTTTTTTATTTTTTTTTATCTAAAACTTTGTTTTTCTTTTTTTCTATTTATTGTTTTTTAGGCTCTGCTTGACAAATTAATTATTCTTTTAATTTTTTTTTTATAAAAAAAATATATAAAATCGGACATATAATTACAAATTTAACTCTTGATAAGGGGGTGTTAGAGCTTATTGGACCAAAGGGAATTGTTAATTTTTTGATTTTACAAGTACAAAGATTAAGTAGTTTTCAGTCTGGGCTTGTTTTTAATTATGCTTTGGTTTTCTTTGTTGGAGTTGTTGTTTTTATGGTTTTATTGTAGAGAATTCGGTTAAAAGTAAGCCATTGGCCTTCAAAGCTAAAAATGTAGGTGCAAGTCCTACTTTCTCTGAAAATGCCACAGTTAAACACAATGATGTTTTTAAATCAATACGGGTGTACTTTTTTTTTGTTTTTTGTTCTTTTATTTTTTTTTTTGTTAATCCTTTTACCCCAAGTAAAAAAAAACTTTTTTTTTAGAAAAAAAATAAGTACAAAGGGGTTTTTAAAAGAGTCTCTTTTAATAAAAGAAGTTGTTTTTATTTGATTATAATGAAAAATAATTATTTTATCCGTTGGGTTTTCTCTACAAATCATAAAGACATAGGAACTTTATATTTAGTTTTTGGTGTTGGAGCAGGTCAAATTGGGACTGCTTTTAGTATGCTTATACGATTGGAGCTTTCTGCGCCAGGCGCGATGTTAGGTGATGATCATCTTTATAATGTAATTGTAACAGCACATGCTTTGATTATGATTTTTTTTTTAGTAATGCCGGTTATGATTGGGGGGTTTGGAAACTGGCTAGTGCCATTATATATTGGGGCACCGGATATGGCGTTCCCCCGATTAAATAATATTAGTTTTTGGTTATTACCACCTGCTTTGTTTTTATTGTTAGGCTCTGCTTTTGTTGAACAAGGCGCAGGAACGGGATGAACGGTTTATCCTCCTCTTTCTGATATTTATGCGCACTCTGGGGGTTCTGTTGACATGGTTATTTTTAGTCTTCATTTGGCTGGGGTTTCTTCTATCTTAGGAGCAATAAACTTTATTACAACGATTTTCAACATGCGAGCCCCTGGTGTCTCTTTTAATAGAATGCCCTTGTTTGTTTGGTCTATTTTAATAACTGCTTTTTTATTACTTTTATCTTTGCCTGTGTTAGCGGGTGCAATTACTATGTTATTAACAGATCGAAATTTTAATACAACTTTTTTTGATCCTTCTGGAGGTGGGGATCCTATTTTGTTCCAACATTTATTTTGGTTTTTTGGGCACCCCGAAGTTTATATTTTAATTTTGCCTGGTTTTGGTATAATTTCTCAAATAATACCTACTTTTGTTGCTAAAAAACAAATTTTTGGGTATTTAGGGATGGTTTATGCGATGCTTTCAATTGGTCTTCTTGGGTTTATTGTTTGAGCCCATCATATGTTTACAGTTGGGATGGATGTGGACACAAGAGCTTATTTTACTGCGGCAACTATGATTATTGCCGTGCCAACTGGAATAAAAGTGTTTAGTTGGTTGGCCACTATTTATGGTGGAACTTTAAGATTAGACACTCCTATGCTTTGGGCTATGGGTTTTGTTTTTTTATTTACAGTAGGCGGTTTAACAGGGGTTGTATTAGCAAATAGTTCTCTTGATATTGTTCTACATGACACATATTATGTAGTTGCACATTTTCATTATGTTCTTTCTATGGGGGCTGTCTTTGCTATTTTTGGGGGGTTTTATTATTGAATTGGGAAAATTAGTGGATATTGTTATAACGAACTCTATGGTAAGGTCCATTTTTGGTTAATGTTTATAGGGGTTAATTTGACGTTTTTCCCCCAACACTTTTTGGGTTTGACAGGTTTTCCAAGACGATATTCGGACTTTGCGGATAGCTTTGCTGGTTGGAATTTAGTTAGCTCCTTGGGCTCTATAATTTCCATTGTAGGAGTCGTTTGGTTTCTATATATTGTTTATGAGATTTATGTTCGAGAGGAGCCATTTATTGGTTGAAGAGAGGACACGGACTCGAGCTGGGCTTCTTTAGAGTGAGCGCATGTTTCTCCCCCTTTATCTCATACTTATAATGAGCTTCCTTTTGTTATAAAAATACAAACAGATCATTAATAAGCTTTCTTTTGTTATAAAAATACAAACAGATCATGGGTGTAGAAGTAGTGCATCATATATATAGTTGTTTAATAAAATGTGGGATGGAACACCTGGAAATTAAATTTTCACCAAACAAATCCTGGATATCGAAGTTGTTCACCATATTTACTATTGTTTTGTTAGTGCGTCCACAGAACATTCCATTTTTGCACTGGAGCACGCGCAGATGAAGTTTCCACCGTACGATTATTCGTGTTGTAATTTTTATCAAAAAAGGGCTGAACTTGTTCATTTTAATCTTCTGCGGGACAAGTCTCTTTTTGTTGGGTATTTGTCCCCTGAGTTCTCTTCTTTTTTTGACCCTATACAAAAACCTTATGTTGTCGAAAGATGGCCCGGAGCGGAGGCCTCTTATCTTACAATTAAGGAGGTAAGCCATGCTCATCCTGGGGTTACAATCCCTTCTTCTGCATGAAGAATAGAGCCCGACTTAGATTTTGTACTTCGGGAATTACAACAAGTAGATTGGGAAGCTTATGCTCGACTATATCCAGAGCTTTAATTTAAATTGGAATGAGAAGTTTGTATTTTTTGTTGATATTATTTTTAGAATGCTTATTAGACACCCCCATGCTCTGGGTTTGGTACTATATTAGGTGATGATTGTCTTTATAATGTAACTGTAACAACACAGGTTTTTATTATAATTTTTTTAGATTTAGTTTTATTGATTTGAGGGTTTAGTTCACAACAGCCTCGTCCAAGGCGTGCGGGATTTTAGCTTCAGCATTTCTTGGACCAAAATCTATAGTGGTGAAGATCGCGCTTGATCAAAGGCTTGTGAGATCAATGAGGTAAGGGCTTTATTTTTATTTTGGAAAGAGGGAAGAAGTCAATATCACGTTT